AGTGTGCTCCTCAAAGGCAGTCTTGAACACCTATCAGGGTGCCAGGCACCAGTCATGACGCCGCACCGCATCAGGTCGTAACTCGGCCATGTTGGAATGGAAAATGTAAAAATATTCCACAAATCATTTGGTTTGATTGTGTCACCATCACAACTATTTTGAGTGACAGTGAGTAACCTATCAAAATCATTCGAAATCTTTAGCTGGTAGGTTTGCATCACCAGCTGGCGCCATGCCAAGTTCCAGCCTTACTCTGCACGGTGTTGAGCTTTGTAGCTCCAGGGAATGCCTCTTGGCACCACGTTGGCAATTTGGACCTCGCTGTCGTTGGTCAAGTTGGTGACAAGAAAAACATCCCGGAAGACAAGGAAAGCACAAAATCCGCGAATCTGGGGATGGTGATTGGCAATAACCAATATGACCAATATGACCAATATGACCAATATATACCAATATGACTCATATGAAATTCATATGACTCATATGACCAATGATGAGCCATGGCAGAAAATCTCCAGGTGGGATTCAGTCAGAAAAATCACCACTTTGTTCATCTCGGTTCATCTCGGTTCGAGAGGCAAAGGGATCAAATCCTCGGGATTCACATCTGGGTGCTTGAAAGGCTTCACGTGCACTTCTTCGTAACCCTGGCCGATCAACAGAAGTGACAGCTTCACATCTTTCATGGTGGCTTGGACCGATTAAGTGCCTTGTATACCCTTGTATACCCTTGTATACCCTTGTATACCCTTCTATCACACTTCATCACTTCATGTCACTTGCTTTTTCCAATTTGTTCACATATTCCCAAGATTTCCCAAGATTTCCCAAGCCTTCTTTTGCACTCGGAAGGAACCAGTTGGCAACTGGCACTTGGAATTGGCCATGAAATGGCTGCCTGCGCATCTGGTGCATCTCGACAAGTCAACTTCCACTCGAGGTTGACAGATGGGCCGGGACGGTCCGGGCCTCTCGAGAAGGACAAGGTGTCCAAGTCCAGCATGTGGGACGGTTTCTTCTGCCTCGGAAAACGGTGCCGTTTCGCCTTGTCTACTGAGATTCATGTTGATTCACTGAGACTTTAATGCTTGTCATCTGCTAACATACAGTGACATACTGATCACTGATAACAGATGATAACAGATGATAACAGATGGTTTTGGGTAAAGTCAACATACCATTGACTGATTTTTTACTGGGCCGTTCCGCTGAAGATCAGCAAATTTCAGGTCGCTGCTGCTCCTCTGCCACCTTGGCTCTTCCTCGACCCAAGGTCTGACCTGGCGTGGTCACTTGGATTCCAGAAATATGGTCAGAAGTTTGGTTGACTTGACATGACTTGACCATATTTCACCCGCCCCAATAATCCCAATATATGTCTCACACAAAAACCATCAAAAACCCTGAAAAAAACCCTGACGTTCCCTGAAAGAAACCCTGACCTACCACTGATGAAAAGTCTGGGATCCAGCTTCAGATGCTTCAGGTTGTTGAAACGTCAACACCAGCGTCAGAGTCTCATGCTATGTCCAGCGCCTTCATCGTCCATTCCTCTCTCCTTCTCACGTGCGCCTGAGTACTCAACTTCAGACATGGGCTTCAAAAAATGGGTCTAGAAATTCCTTTCTTGCGTAAAGATGCGGAAAATGCTTGGCATGCCTTGGCAGCCAACACTGGAACTTCGACTTGCTCAAAACTTCGAGCTCTTTTTTACGCTGCGCAGCCGAAGTCACTTCGAGGGAATTCACGGGTCCCACGCAATCGACTTAATCAATCTGTTGTGATATCTGTTGTGACTGTGACAATTGTGAGTGATTTCATGTGATTTCCACAGTGCCCTTGATCGTCCCGGGAACACCTGGCATTGAACAGATGATGCACCCTTTGATTTTCAATGGAAAACACGAGCCAGGAAACACCTAGCTTCTCATTCTTCTCATCCATCTGTTCAACCACGCGCAACCATGTTCAACCTGCCTCCAAAATCGGTCACTTTCCCTCCAACTTTGTCATTTGGCCCGAGTCTAGACACGCTTCAAATGCTGGTAGAATCTTGGCTTTTTCAAATCATCTGGAGTGCATTCAGTGTTTTATAGATCTGTGTAGTGCATTCTTACTCTGCTTGCTCGGCTGCCTTCACCTCCAGTTTCGTCACATTCCCAGAGTTGCCCAGGAAAAATCGATCTGCATGGGCCCAGGTGCACATCGGAACTAACTCTGAGAAGGTTCGATCAATTCTTCCGGTCTTTCGCAACGGCTTTGTCGCAGCAGCAATTCTTCTGGCAAGCCCATGGGGAATCCTGAATCCAGGAGTAGCCGCTTCAGGAAGTCATACCTAGCAAAGAAAGTACACGAGCATCCCAACTGCCCCGACAGCTCTTAAAAACTAGTGCCCAAGAGCAGCAAAATTGGTACATTCAAAAACGAGCACAGATTCTTCAAAAAATAAGTCTGTTCAAAGTTGCTCTGACGACAGTAACACTTTCAGAAGATTCACCAGAGTTGAGTTTCTGCAAAGATCTGTTCTGTGCCCCGGTCGATGATTGTGTCTCCCAAGCTGAATGTCTGCTGGAACCTTGGAAAGGCCCAACCAGCTGGCAATCTGTAGGAAAGTGTCCCAGGAGGATTCACGCATGAAGGCTTGGTGTACAACCAGCAGTCGCTGTTGGAAGAGTTGTTTTAGGTGTTCCACGTGTCTTTGGATCGCAAAACGGCCAAGGAATGTGGGCCCTTGGTGTTCAAGTGTGGACTCAAGTACACTGCTGATGCTTTCAAAGCAGCCCCTGGGCCGCACCAATGGCCCAAATTCTGGATGTGGAAGGGGTGGATCACAAATGTGGTACCACCAAAAGGCCTTGTCAACACGACTCAATGGATCACAAACGACCAGTAACACCTTCAATTGTGGGATCCGTGCCAGCGCCATCCGTACTCGCAGGTGCGCCCAGAGGCTCGGATGTCGCAAACCTTTCAAGGTCCGGTGGCTCTTCCATTGCGAGTTGAACCTCTCCACTTCCGACAGAAACGGCAGCAGCCGGTCGTTCTCAAAAAAAAAATCGTCCTCTTCACCCAAACGACTAAATTCGATGTCATCCAATTGTTGAAGCCAGCGACCCAAGGAAGTGGTTCCACAATTATCAAGACCTGCAATGACGAAATCCAGCCGAAAATGAGACCAATGTGACAATTCTGCTACAGCCAGTTGTGGCTCTGCGGGGACTGGGAATGGAAGCGGACTGTTCAGAACGTGCATCAAGTATCCTCGGCCCAAGAAATTGATCAAAGTATATCAAAGTTAGGTAGTGAAACATGGGATAGTGATGGGATGGTTTTTTTTGGGTGAAAACCAAGTGTGTGTTTCCCGGGGTCTTAAATTTTGACCCATAGAGTGGATAGAATGGATGGGATGACATGGGGGTATACCGGGTAGACACTACAGACAACGAACTGAGTTCAAATCCTGCAGATTGGTGGAACTCGGAAATGCTCAAAATGATACGGTTCAGTCAAACACTTGCCAATGGCCGCTTTGGAAGGCCACAACTGGTGAGGTTTCAATAGGTTTCATAGCTTCGTTTGGAGATCAACAACAGATCAACAACACCACGAAAAAGGTCCCAGCATTGAGATCCGAGCAGCCAGGGGCCAGCTCCTCTCTGATTTCAGTGTCACTGCAGAAATCTGGGACGCAAAGCCCAATAAAAATCTTCACAGCCAGACCCTCCACCCGTTGTCGAAGTTCGCTACAACCTTCACATTCCACGGAAGTTCCAAGCTCATGGATCCAACTATCAAAGTAATGCTTGCGATTCAAGGCCAGTTCCCAATATTTGAATCCTCACAGCGACCATGTGACCACCCAAAAGATGCCCAAAAGGTGCCGAAGATGCAAACATGCTGTCGCATGCTGTTCTGTTCAACCGTTCAAAGTGAAACTAAGTCATTCTGACTGCAAGACATCTATACAAATGTTTCATCTGAGATTATACTCTTGTGGGGAAACCCATGTCCAGAATGACGAACCCAATGACAAACCCAATGGCTTTTACCCACTGCCATTTTGGATCAAAAGAAGAGCGTTTCGTGGAGGATGGCTATCTTTGTCCTTGGGACCAGCAATAAGATGCAGATACCTCCGACATGTTCAAGACATAGGCGGCATGCATGTCCATTTCATTGGTCTGCTGCCAATAGTCGATCTTCGCAACGGTGGAAGCACCCGACACACTCTCCAAAGTCTCAAAGGTGCTGGGCTCAAAGAAGGCCTCGCCACATGTCGCTGAAACCAGCTGAAGCTGCAGAAAAGCCTGAAAAGCCAAGGGCAGAGCCTCTGGAAGCATCGACCAAGCTGGTTACCACATGGCTCCACTGCGATTTCTCCATTCCATGGCTCCACTGACCGAACCCTGTCGGTCGCCGTGGCACTTGGCGGCTTGGCCCAGGAAAGTGGAGCTGCGCAACTCTGCGAGCTGAGTTTCTACTAAGCCACCACCGAAAAATGAAAATGTTTGCTGGTAGTGAAACCCTTACATAACCATAAATATACCAAATATCCCAGAATTGATAGTTGACACTAGTTGGCCATACTTACAGACGGTGACTCGAAGCAGCCAACACATGAAGTTACGCTTCCAGCCTCGCAATTGGAGCTGACGCACCTCCTTTCGCAAATCCCTGTCAGAGTTTCCATCTGCAATACCAAAATCAAATGGATGCAGGATGAGTCAAGAGATGTCAAGAGTCACAAACAGTCTAATTTGGATGGTTGATAAGTGTTGATAAGGTACAAAAGTCAAACATTCCTGTTTCGTTCATCCCCGATTTAACACGGTACTTTCACATGACAGCATGGTCATCAGAAGCTCTGGCCTGTTGATATCGCGCTCCCTGTCACGCTTCTTTGATGCTTTGTCCAACTCCTTCCACGGATGAATTGTGAGACAAACTCGGCATTCGGACATTCGGACAACAAATTGTGTGAATTCATATTCACAGATGCCTAATTCAGGGACGGGCACGTCCCTACATCTGCCCACAATCATGTTTTGTGAGTTATGTGCAACTTCAGCAAGACCCGTTGCTCGACCCGTTGCTCACTCTGCTCACTCTGCTTACACAGAGTGGGATCAAGCCTCAAGGACTGCTTGAGCGTCTGGTGTGTTGCGCATGTCTTCAAGGACTGCTGTCTTGTCTTCTTCGGTCTGTGCCTGACCCAAACGGGTACAGTACCTGCAGAGATTCAGCTTGGAGATTGTGGACATTGGTGGACATAAGCTAATGACCTTTGAGATCTCTAATACATATGTATATATATATATATATACATACATGTATATAAATATATGTATATATGTGTATATATATATATATATATTTTTGAGGGCACAAGATCTTGAGACGATTCTTCAGCAGCAACTTGGTGAACTCGAAGTTCTCATACTGCAACACCTGCACCAACCTGGTCCGCACCACAATTTGCCACGCTATGCCACGCTACTCGAACGGACCAGCGGATCAGCAAACGATCAAACCACACCGGTCTCAGCAATCCGAAATCGAACGATCAACAGCTCTGCAGGCTCTGCATGGCTCCGCACCTGTTCTCGCATTGCTGCAGATCTTTGATAGGCAGAATGGACAAAATCTCCTTTTCGGTGGCAATACACTTGTTTGGATCCTGGCTGTGGCAGTTGGACGGCAGGAAATGATAGGAAATGAAGGTATCATAAGGTATCAAACACCCAACCTCGACAACCGGATCAGTAAATATCCAGGGTCAGTCGATCCAGTCGATCCAGTCGATCCAAACCTGAAAGATCTTGCCGAGCTCTCGCTGCAGCCTGAGCGATGTCACACATGATTCATGTCACTTCTGTACGTCACACGGACATCCTGTACATCAATATAATTCAATGATATTCAATGTACATCACATGTTTCTACAGGGTCGGCGACACCCATGCGGTCAAGATGGGTCATGATGGGTCAAGATGGGTCGAGAGCATTAGGATCTGTGCTTCAGGGACTTCAAAACTCGCCAGGATCACCAGTGCGCATCGATCTTCTGAATGTCGACATTGTACTTATCCTCCTTCTTTGCTTCTTCCTGGCATGTCTGGGGCCATGAGGCAATGAGTCCATGCACTACTAAGTACTACTGCTATGTTGTGAGTACAAACGACACTGTGCATAGCCTGAATGGAGAGTTATAGCTTCCACTTGAATGTGGTGAATGTGTTGTATACTAGCGGGTCCTCACCAAGCAATTGTTTCGGTCTGGTTCATTCCGTTTCAGGTTATCATAGTGCAAAGGGGGATACACAATTTCTTACAAATACTTGAGTCTTCCATCAGTCAGTTCTGGTTTATTCGGAGAGAAAGTATAGCAGTCTACAACTCTGTACAACTCTACCGAAAGCAGCTTCCAAAGGTCCTCCTCGTCGTCGGCTTCCAGCAGCGTGGCGTGGATTCCCCGGTCGTCCCTCGGGAGTGACGCGTCGTGACACGTCGTGGCACGTCACGTGACACGTTGTCACTGTCTGTGACTGACATTTCAACGCTGGAACCGGAAAGTCATGGAAAATCCATGGCTGTTTCACCAGCTTTCATTATGTCTGAGCTTCGGAAGTGCAAAGAATCAAGTGTCAAAATACAAATAAGCAATATGAAGACAATGCAAAGTAGAATTTCCTAGAAGGACGCAGGATCATATGTAAGAAAATATGAACTGTAAATCGGTCCCAGGATGCCTGTCGTCATCCATTTTGCCACCTTCATCGTCATCGTCATCTTCGTCATCCTCTCCCAGCTCGTGCATGTAGTCTCCACCCTGTTGGCCGAAGTTGTCCAGCTATGCATAAAGTTCCTTCTATCTAAATAAATGTGTATATATATATATATAATGAATATGTGTGTATATATATATATATGTATATATATATTGCCATGTGTGTCTTCCTGTAGTGCCATTGACTTCCTGCAAAGATCAATCAATTTCAGGAGCCTCATCCTCATCGTCCTCGTCGAAAACTACAGCAACACCTGCAGCATCGTCTAAGCCCTCTTTGGTGCGCACAGTGTCATCCTGTTGCAGACAGGGTGTGCCCAGAGCTGGCAATGTCCAATCAACTTCGTCACCAAAGAAAATGCTTGTAATCCAGACGTGACACAAGAAAACACTAAGGATGTTTTGGCCAAAATTTCCCTCTTGACACTCAGCCTGAAACGTAATCAAATGCTGTGTGCCAAGACCAAACTGCAACTGCTTGGGTCCATTTAAGTCGATGCCTGCTCCTCATCCTCCACATCGGCGCCGAAATCTGTGATCTGCTTTGCCAATCTGAGCAGCGAAATCTATCGAAATCTGCTCCTACTCTTATCATTCACACCAACAAACCAGTGAGTCAAAACAAGCTGGGATTCTGCCAATGCAAACAAGAACTGAGATACACTGCAAAAACTCGTTGGAGAAAAAACTCGTTCTCTGCAGGGACGCCGCTCTTTCCCACTGTGACCTGAAGAGCTCTGCAAAGTACTCGTCGGAGATGGATCCAAGCACCTCCTCAACGTCCTGGATGAAGTTTCAGATCAAGCTTCATGGAAATACTATAATATGCATGCATATACATATGTATATATATATATATATGTAATTATATGTATTATCATCAATGATTATATGCTAGTGACTCTGCAAGCCTCCGCAAGATATTTAAGCAGTTCCTGTGATTATCTGACACACATTCAGGAGCCGTTTGAAATTCTGACTCATCTTTCGATGGACCTTCGGTCCTTCTTGCGTTCGGAGTCTAGCACGCCTTCTGTCTTGATAGCAGCTAAGACCTTGGCAGAGTGTGCTACGAACACATTTTTCGCAGTAGGACTCTCATTGTGTGAAAGTCAGGCTGTTGGTTGCCGGCACCTCGTCTGCTGCACCACGAAGAACATCGGGTGCCTGACAAGTCTCTGCTAAGTCCAAACGATGCGCCCGGCACCCCCTGTCATTTTTAATAAGGCCCTCGTCATGTCAACAGGTTGGTTGATGATGGCAGGATTTGGAAAGTCAACTGTCAGTCATCATTTGGGATGGCAGTGGCCATGCCACGCTAGCTCCACCACACATCAAAGCGATACTGCAGTCAATTTCAATGTACCAAATGGGCGCTCAGCATCTAATGAATGACCGAATTTGGACCGCTGCCACCACCACCACCAGCACAGTAGTATGTAACAATGCAAATGATATTGATAGTCATCACATGTAACAAGATGTAATAACTAGTCTTATTAGATATGTATGAATCTGCAAAACATACATTACATTACATTACATTACATTACAATACATTACATTACATTACATTACAATACAATACAATACAATACAATACAATACATACATGCATAAATACATACATACCATACCATACCAATACATTTCATTGCATTACATACATTAATTACATACATACATACATACATACATCCATACCATACCATACCGTACCATACCATTACATTACATTACATTACATTACATTACATACATACATACATACATTACATATGTATATATATATGTGTGTATATATATATGTATACGTACGTACGTATGCATGTATGTATGTATGCATGTATATAATTATAGATATGTATGTATGTCTGTATGTATGTATGCATGTATCTATGTATCTATGTATCTATGTATCTATGTATCTATGCATCTATCTATCTATCTATCTATCTATCTATATAATTATATATAAACATATACAAATATAGTTATGTATGTATGTACGTACGTACTTACGTACGTACGTATGTGTATGTGTCTGTGTATGTGTATGTGCATTTGCATATGTATATGTATATGTATATATATTTTTTTTATATATGTATATATGTATATGTTTTTATATGTATATGTATATATATATATATGTATATGTGTATATATATATATGTGTATATATATATAGATATATGTATATATACGTATATATATATGTGTATATGTATTTATATATATACACATATATATGTATATATATGTATATATATGTATATATATGTATATATGTATATATATGTATATATATGTATATATATATATGTGTATATATATGTATATATATGTATATTTATATATATATGTATATATATATATGTATATATATACATATGTATATATGTATATATGTATATATATACATATGTATATATGTATATATGTATTGTTGTTTTGTGAAATCCTCAGCCACTTGCACGTGATGGTATTGGATAACCAGTACAACGCGTTGTCTGCAGGGGTCTCTATCCAATGGGAAACAATCCATTTCATGCACTTCAAGGTGTGGCTCAGGTGCAACAGCGAGGGCTTGGGTAGCCCCCAATTTGGATCCGTGTGTCCGCGTTGGAAGCCATAAAAGGCGTGGCGCCTTGCTTTGCGGCTCAGGAGGGCCTTGGTGTTTCTTTGAGTGGAGGAGGAAAGGGAATAGCCAAGGGGCCCCTACCAGTTCTACACTGGTAGCGGAGCTGCCGCGGCTGGAGGTGGAAACCGGATAGGCCGTTTTGCCTCTGGAAGCCAGTGATCCAGGATGTCAGGTGACGGAGATGATCCAATGGGGTCTAATCCAACATTGGCTACGAGCTCAAGTGGCACAGGCCAGACAGCCCTGTCGCATTTGCGCTGGAACATGATACCTAGCTTCAAACCAGGTGAGACGGATATCAACGAGTACTCCAAAAAGCTCGAGTTCCTAGCAGGATTGTGGCCACAGGAGCATTTAGCTTTGTTGGCACCTCGTGCAGCTATGTTGTGTGAAGGGAGTTCCTTCAAGAAGGTCATGCGAATTGACACAACGAAGCTCAAGGTGAATTCCATTGAGGGCGTGAAGCTCTTGGTGACCTCACTCGGAGGAATTTGGGGAAAGAGCAAGCTGGAGGAAAAATTTGAGCGATTTGAGAGAGCGATTTTTTCCACAACACAAAGGTCGGATGAAACACATGAAAGTTATTTGGCACGGCATGATTTCCAGTTTGAGGAGTTGTTACAAATGGGTGTGGGGATTCCTGAGGTCAGAGCCTACATTCTGTTACGAAACTCCGGATTGAATGCAGATGACAAAAAGAAACTGATTGTGGACTCCAAAGGGGCATTAGAGTATGATGCCATAGTCTCGGCCCTCAAGTTGCTGGGATCCCGCTTTTTCAATGAGGTTCAGTCGGGCTCCAAGAATGTTTCCCGATCCAAAACATATGATGTCAATGCAGTGTTCGAAGATGATCTTCCTACATATGTCACAGAGGAGGAACAAGCCTATGTAGGTGATTCCTGGGATGATGGTGAAACTGTGTATGACGAATCTGACCCCGATGCCGTGATTTGCATGCAGTTTGAAGATAGCATACTCGAAGCACTACAGGGTGACATGGAATTGGCAGCCTGTTACAATACCTATGTAGATGCCCGAAAGCGTTTGTCAGACCGCAACAAGAATCGAGGGTTCTGGCAGTCCAAGGGTTCCAACCATGGGTTTAAGGGCAAGGGAAAATCCAAGTCCAAAGGATTCTCCCGATTCAGGAAGCCTCTGGCACAGAGAATTCTAGAGTCGGAGTGTCGCCGATGCGGCCAAAAGGGCCACTGGAAAGCAGAGTGTCCATTGAATCGCAACAGCTCTCAGGGCCAAGCAGGTACTTCAGGTTCAAAGGATTCTGCTTTTGCGGGAACGGTGATGATGGCCGAAGACACCAGCTTTGACAATGACATGATCTTTGTGGATTCCCAGGTGAAGGTGTTCCTCATATGCATGAAGTTTTGGGCCTTAATCAATCGGTTTGCTGTTTTGGGATGAGTGATGAACCCCAGAATATGACATGTTCTCATCTAACGGATCCTCTCCTCACCAGGTTTGTGACAGCTTTGAAGAACCGCCTAAGCCCTCAGCTGAAGATAGCACCTGAAACGCCGCAGTGTGGGATCCAAACGCGATCCGTTGCATCCGAGACTCATGAGGGTCTTTTTCTCAAAGAGGTCCAACCGAGACCTACTGCCGAAACAATGTTTGTGAGTCATGGGCCATTTGGCATTGTTGACCTAGGTGCCAGTCAAACTGTCATAGGAAACCAACAGGTGTCAGAGCTGCTTGATCATTTGCCGTCAGATGTGCAGCAGAAAGTCTAAAGAATCCCATGCAACACAGTTTTCCGTTTTGGAAATAGCAGCACAGTAGAGTGTCATGAAGCCCTGTTGGTGCCGTTGTCCCGATGGAATGTCAAAGTGTGCATCGTCCAGTCCAAGACGCCATTTTTGATATCCAATAATGTATTTCGCACCTTGGGGGCGCAAATTGACACAGCTCAAGACACGATCACTTTTGCCAAGATCGGTGTCAAAATGCCGCTGTCCCTCACCGCCAAGAAACTGTATTTGTTGGATTTTTGTGAGCTTGTTCGCCAGGTTTCCATGCAACATGCCACCAGGTCACAGGTCAATCTGCCGCATGGTGAGGTCATGTGTTCAGTGAACTTAGAAAGTGAAGAAACCCACATGATACCTTTTCCATCAATCACCATGCAGAGTTGTGATTCCAAGCAGCGCACTCCCGTTTCTGACACTTCCTCACCCGCGTGTGTTGATCGTCATGGCCCAGCCGACTTTGGCAGATCGCCTTCATGCAGTGACCAGCCACAAGGATTCAGTGGAGTTCATGAAGATGTCGTACGAGCAACTGGCCAACCAACGGATCTCGTTTGGGGAGGCAAAGCTGGGACAGAAATTCCAAGATGTGATTCAGCAAGACCCAAAGTACGCGACCTGGTTCCTCAAGAAGTACGAGACGTCCCAGAAGCCAGCCCATCAGGCCTTTGCCCACTTCATCGGCCTGTATGTGGAGCGTCAAGAGATGCAGCTGGAAGCCGAACCGTTGGCCCAGCCAAGCAAGTACGAGTTGAAAGCAAAGGCCAAAGCCCAACCCATGAGGGTCCACTATCCGGAGACACCGGACAACGTCAGCCAGGCAAGCTGGTCGGAGGAAGATGTGTCGAAGCCCTGGAGTGTGATTCAGGAGGAGGCCTCGCAGAGAATCCAGGAAGAAGTGACCCACCAGAACAATCGGATCGAGAACATGGAGAACGCCCTCCAGCAGATCACTCATCAACTGCAAGCACTGATGCAGACCATGCTGAATCAGGGCAATGTCCCGAAATCATGATGCAATCCGAAGAGGGACATGCCATGAGATCTCTCATATGTGATGATCAGGGTAAACAGCAACTCCACGAGAAACCTCATGAGATTTTTGACATCAATTATTTCTCTGATTTGGTTCAACAAGAAGCTGGGTCGTCCAACTGGGTGTATCAAGAAATGTGGAATTATTTTCAGAAGAAATTTCCCCACTATACTTTGGATGACATGAAACGCCACTGGAAACACTCGAGATCTCATGTCCTGGAAGTCTACTGCTCCGAGCAAAGCCAGTTGACACGACAGGGGGAAACCCTAGGCATGACCACTTTCAGGTTTGGACTTCGACATGGTGATTTAGCAACTTTTTCAGGACGATGTCGGTTATATGATCTCATTTGGCAGATACGGCCCCATCATATTTGGGTTTCTCCCAAGTGCGGCCCGTGGAGCAGATAGATCGTGACAGACGTGCCGAGAGTGTCCACCTCAAGCTTTGCGATGCTCTGTTCCGTCTTCAAGACTGGCGTGGTGATGATTTCCATTTTCATTTAGAACAACCACTGGGATCCGAGTTGATTTACCAACATGACATGGATAACATTGTTCGCCATACCCTGAGGGTTACATGTGACATGTGCACAGCTGGACACTTAAAGCACCCTGAGAGTCAACAATGGCTCCGCAAACGCACACAGATCTGGACCACTTCCCAGATTATGTGGAGAATGCTGGAACAATTTCAATGCGTTGGTAATCACTCTCAC